CAACAGTTAGAACTGGATATGGAACAAGTGATTGGTTCAAAATTGGGAAAGGAGTACAAGGCTGTATATTGTCTCCCTGCTTATTTAACTTATATGCAGAATACATCATGCGAAAGGCTGGAGTGGAGGAATCCCAAATCGGAATTAAGATTGCTGGAAGAAATATCAACAACCTCCGATATGCAGATGATACCACTCTGATGGCAGAAAGTGAGGAGGAATTAAGGAACCTCTTAACGAGGGTGAAAGAGGAGAGCACAGAAAAATTGTCTGAAGCTCAACATCAAGAAAACGAAGATCATGGCCACTGGCCCCATCACTTCCTGGCAAATAGCAGGGGAAGATATGGAGGTAGTGACAGATTTTACTTTCTTGGGCTCCATGATCACTGCAGATGGTGACAGCAGCCACGAAATTAAAACACTTCTGCTTCTTGGGAGGAAAATGGTGACAACCCTTGACAGCATCTTAAAAAGCAGAGACATCACCTTGCCAACAAAAGTCCGCATAGTCAAAGCTATGGTTTTTCCTGTAGTGACGTATGGAAGTGCGAGCTGGACGATAAAGAAAGCTAACCGCCGAAGAATTGATGCTTTTGAACTATGGTGCTGGAGAAGGTTTTGAGAGTCCCTTGGACTGCAAGGAGAACAAACCTATCCATTCTGAAGGATATCAACCCTGAGTGCTCCCTGGAAGGACAGATCCTGAAGCTGAGGCTCCAATACTTTGGCCATATCATAAGAGAAGACTCCCTGGAAAAGACCCTGATATTGGGAAAGTGTGAAGGCAAGAGGAGAAGGGGATGACAGAGGATTAGATGGTTGGACAGTGTCATCGAAAAGTTCCACAAGAATTCAAGCAATTCCAATGGCATTCACTATCCAAAGTCTGGTTTTATTTAATTATTCGGCTTCATCGACTCCAATTCCATTCCAGCGAATGACTCGTGTCTTCTTCCAGGATATTCCCTTCCATTCCCTCAGTTCTTTCCTTGCAACAGACAATCTGCCTCTACATTTCTCAGCAACTATATGTGTCCACTGGGTATCACTGGGATAGCTGGAGGAGGGAGGTAACTTGGACCTTCACCCAGGGCCTTAATTCGAACGTGTGCTCGGACCCAAATCATAGATGCCTCAGGGCATGTGCAGAGTGTGTGCACTTCGCTTTCTGTAAATCCACACTAGAGCCCCAAATATCTACGCTAAGAGACATGAAATACCAAAAAAACCCCACCCCAAAATAACACCCTAACTCAAGAAACTACATTCCCCTCAGGGGCCCCACTCTTCAAGCCCCCCTCCTCTTTCGCTCCCAGTCCTTCTCCACGCCTACCTTTCTCGCGGTCATCTCCGCCCGTCAGGACTACCGTTTGCCACGTGACACGGAGAACGAACCCCCTCCGGGTTGCGGGAAACGGCTGGAAGCAAAAACTCCCAACCAACTCCGCTAGGCGGACCACCAAACAAAGCCCTCTTTCAGACGCCGGGTTCATGCCACGCCCCCTCCAACTTGGCGCCGTTTCATCAGCGGAGCCCCTGATTGGAAGAGACGTCGACGACACTCCTCGACGAACGCGGAAGAGAGGAGGCGCCCCGCCTTGGCTTGGTTTTTCATACGGTCGCCGCCCGGGGGCCCTTGTGCAGGCAAGCCCGTGTTACGGCATACGCTTGCTACGCATGCGCGCTGAGGGTTCTTCGTCGTCGTCTTAGAGGCGAGAACGCTCCTTCAAAGTCAGCAGAGACGCCAAAGTGGGATGTTCCTGGGCCGTGGGTCACGTTGTAGGCTGGTCTTATACTGTATAGGTTTATTTGTCCCTTTTCGTGCAGAAAACAGTTCCTTTCGTGCACAAAGGCAAATCTGTGTGGTTGGTGCACGGGAGTGAAGCCCTTACAAGTACTCTTGGGTTTAAGTATTTAGGGTGTTTACAATTATTTCAATAGGAAAAATTTCAAATTCTCAGTGCAGCCATGAAGCTCAGTAGGTGGCCATTCATTGGCTAGGCCAGTACAGGGTGGCATAAGCCCCTAACATGCTAATTTGTATTAATGTATTGTGTGTTTTAACATTGAAGGTACAAGGCAGTCAGATGATAGAATAATGTATAATCCTAATTTTAGAACTGCAGAACGGGAAGGGACCCTATGGATCATCAGGTCCCGCCCTTGTCAAGGAGGCACAGTGGGGAATCAAACTCCCAACCTCTGCTATAGATACACTTGTTAACTGTCAAGGATCTTTTATATTTTATGTAAGTATAAATACAGAAGAACTACACAACTTTAGCTTTGACAATGAAAAGCCTGAAATCGTTAAGAGATTTTGTATACCTTGATTCAATCGCTGATCCAAATGGAAAATGCAGCCAGGACATCAAAAGAAGACTGAGAAGGGCAGCAGTGAAGGAACTAGAAAAGATCATCAAGCGTAAGGATGTGTCACTAAAGACCAAGACTGTCCTCACTTTTGTATTTCCAATCACTATGAAGGGGTGTGGAAACTGTAGTTTAAAAAGATAGTAAAAAAAGCTGGCAGGAAAAAAAAGTAGATTTTGTTTGAAATGTCCTGGACGAGAGCTTTGTGGATACTCTGTATTGCCAGAAACACAAACAAGTGGGTCTTAGATCATAAACCTCTGGAGGTAAGCATGTCAAACTAAGGCTGTCTTGTTTTGGGTACATCATGAAAAGGAAAAGCTCACTGGAAAAGTCGATAATGCTAGGGAAAGTTGAAGGCAGAAGGAAAAGTGAAAGACCAAACATGAGATGTACTGACTCCCTAAAGGAAGCCACAGCCTTGAGTTTACAAGAGCTAAGCAGGAATGCTGAGGACGGGACATTTCGGGTCAGAGGTAATTTGATGGCACGTCACAATATTTTAATGCTAAATGGGAACTACCTTTTTTGTTTCTACAGGGCAGCCTTATAATTTCCACTCAAAAGTAAACTGCACTGAGTTAAATTGGACTTACTACCAGATGTGTCAAGAGTCGGATTGTAGCCTGAAACCACAAACCTGTACAACAGGGTTAGGCTATCTATGGCTTACTCTCAGATGTTGTTGGACTTTAGCTTCTGTGACCCCTGACCACTGGCTACTGTGGCTAGGTAATAAAAAGGTCCCAGCTGGTGGGCCACAAGTCCTCCACTCCTGCTGTATACACCTCACAGAATTCAATGGGACTTACCTCCAGGCAAGAGGCTATAGCCATATGGAATTTAGCTGATAAATGTTCTCATTCTTTAAAATATAGTGACTTTTCTACTGTTGTTGCTACATGCTGTCAAGCCAGAACCTACTTATAGTAGTGACCCTGACAGGATTTTCAACGCAAGTGAAATATTTAAAGAGTGGTTTTAGCAGTTCCCCCAGTCAGTTTCCATGGCTGAGACGGGATTCAAACCCTGTTCTCCAGAGTCCTAGTCCATCACTCTATCCACAGCACCACACAGAGAACCCATACTATTGTAGGGCCTTTTCTTTGGCCAGATGCAATGTCGTGCCTACTGGTATATTATATAGCAGATTTAATGCAGTTCCCTATTCTGAAAGGCACTGCCAATATAAACAGCGGGTGCTAGAAACCCTTGTTCATATGTTTTTGCACTGCCCACTTCACTCGAGGTTGATAGCCTCGAGGTTGTTAAAGCTGGAAGGGAGGTCAGATCTGGATAAAGTTCGTTGTATGCTGGCAGCAGAGATGACTGACATTGTAGAAAGAGTCAGACTTCCTCAATATTATTGTTAGGAGATGAACCATTGTCCCTTTAAAGATGTCTAACACTTTTCTGGCCTCTTGATGCCTATATACATAATTACTAACGAGAGAGATTTGGCAACTGGACCTATGGCCTGCCAGCAGCATTTATCCTTTGCATCAAAGCCATTCACACTTGTTGAAAAACAGCCTGCCCAATTGCTTCATGTTTGGATGAGAAGTGGTTAATTGATGAAAAAGGAGTCAGATTCTGGGATTCTACCTCGCATGGTGTCACTTTGTGAATGGTAGTGAGCAGAAGAGGGTATCCTATAGACTGTCTTGACTGTTAACACTGGTGTCATCAACATTCAGGCTGCCCTTTGCTATATAAATCTGGGTGTCGTTTTTCCTGCTGACCATGCAGGCACAATATTGTGCAGCAATGTTGGGCCCATTTCCTGGTAAAAAATCACAATGTCCCACATTCATAAACCACAGTTGTTGGGTGTTGGTTTTTTTTGGGAAGAATTTAATATTCGGATATTAATTCCTGATATAAAATGTAGGATGTACGGTATCTCTGACCTAGAGTATGCCCAAGACAGTTGGGCATATTGCAGGACTGGGTAGGGAGTTTCTGTCACCTGAGCTGACTTCCCAATAGTTGAGGTACAGGGGTAGATTGGCATTGACACAAGAATTTAAAATATGTAATTTAGGACTGGATAGAATGATGAGAGAGCCAATAACAAGGAATATTAATAACACACTGTGACATTTACCCCATAGCCCCTGCTTGTTTCACCAAATGAAGACCTCACCTGAGTATCCCAACATGCCCTTTAACACGCTGCCACCAGTTGATCTCTTTATCAGCCTGTACTGTATTTCCTATGAAAGACTGAGGTCCATTCAGTACTGAACTTTTAAACAGAAACAGGTTTATCAATTACAAGTTGTCTTAGGACTAATTCTTAAGCACTTTCTTAAAGTTACAAAAAGCTTCAGTATTTTACTTTAACCTCTTCTATCTTAATTAATACAGGTCACACTCTGACTAATCACTTCTTAAGCTCTCTCTGCCTCAAACCCCCAAACTGTTTTCCATCTTCTCTGTCTCTGACTGAATCCTTCTAGTTTCTCTGGCTCCACCTCCCGGCAGCTCTCATTGGTACATGCCAATAATTTTCTACCTGAGCCAAAGCAGGGTAATCACTACATACCTCCCCCCTTAAGAAGTTTGTTCTATGAGGGGAAACCCAGCAGTTTGCCCTCATAAACAAACAGCTAAGTACATGCAAATATAACAATAACTTACCAATATTTATACATACCTTATAAGACAGTTTTCTATCCATTACTAGCTTTACTAGATCAAACTTACCACTTTATAAACATTTAAGACAATATAATTATAAACATTTGCATTTAACATTAATACCAACTACATTGCATCACTTTTGCATTAATAAAGACCTACTCACCACCATTTTTACCATCATTATACACCTCTCAGTTCATCAACATCCAAACATTCATTTCAGTCGTATTTCATGACAAAGACACAAACAGGCTTTTTGCATGATGATGATTTCGCTTAACAGTGATTTTCCCAGAATGGATTATCGTCATCATGCGGGGCACCACTGTACTTGGTATGTAATGGACAGCCTGCTCAATTTTTGGTTGTAGGCGTTGGTTCAGATCTTTACTTGGCTGTGCTTACAGGGTAACATTGGAAAATCTACTATATCTCGTCCTCTCTTACCTATAAAGGTTAGTTGTAAAGATAAAATGAAATATCTGTGAAGATTCTCAGTCATCCAGATGTGGTTATTTGGAAATTGAGTCATGGCAACTGGACTTCTTTCTTGTTAGGTTGAAACTGACTGGAGAAGCTACTTGGATGAGTAGTTGAATGTTTCGATCTAACAAGAAAGACGTCCAGTCGCCATGACTCAACTTCCAGATAAAATGGAATGACTCCACTTAAGACTGTTATACTTTCTTCTTGGAGGAATCGGAGGAGGGGAGATACAGTATGTATGTGATAATTAAATTCAAGCTAAATGAAAATTGGTTAGAGTTCCTTGGAAACAATGTTGATATATGGCTCTATATATTTCTTTCACTGCCATCACAACAATCAACATCATGTGAATAACACTGATGATTATTCACCATTTACTATGCTGAGTAATAAATAAACAAATGTAATCATAGTTGTTTTGTACTCTATGCATGGGAAACTCTTTGAAATGTTCCTTTTTTATGTATATGTATCTGTTTTGCTTGCAGTACTGTGCTGTGGACACAAATCCTTTATCCATCTATGTTATGTAGCCATTATGGGACAGAATAGTAAAGGTAAGAATATTACTTCATGTGAGGAAAAATTAGTTTTTCAATAAGATTTCATTGAATACCGAGTTATGGTGGTTGTAAATAAAGCTCTTTAATTTGTTGTGTTAAAATATTCTTCAAGGATGTCTTTCTTTTTCACTTCATGCAGGGTGTTGTTGCATTTACATTTTGTAAAGAGAGTTGCCACACTAAAATATCCCATGTGTGTAAACAATGTGTGTGTGTTCAACTTTCATGAGAATGGTGGAGGATATGAAGAATTCTGTCTTGATTTCATTAAATTTGTATCTGGTTGCAATACTCTGTTCTTAATTCCCATATGGAAATTTGTTTGCCTTTTCAAGAGCTTTTTCTACATACATTTTCTGTAATGTACAGATTTAATTATGTATGTTCCTACTGTGTGCATTTGAACATATTTGCTCCATTGGCTAAAGCATGTTTATTTTTTTCATTTTATGCTTTTTATAGCTGCTCATATTTTAACATGTGTAAAATGATTTTGTGTGTACAAAGCATGCTGAAAGTTTTCTGAAGAAAATAACTTTGACCACTAAAACTCTTTATCTTC